GGGTTTTCCTCTCTTCACCAAATGTTAGATTAATGAATAATAAAATGCTTTTAGATGTTAGTTTCAAATCACATGTATATTCAACTCCCCTGTCCCTCCGTGACCAAGTTATTTCCCAACCTGTGATGAATAAAACAATAATGATCCATGTCTGTCGTTGTGTCCACAGGCAGTGAGTGTGAGGAACTGACTGCAGCCATGCTGGAGTCGCTCCCCCCGAGCGTACGCTCCAACATCAAGCTAACGGACCTCAATACGTTCTACCAGCAGCTGCAGCAACATCTGGGCAAAAGTAACAGGTTGGAGAAAAACAGCTGTTTTTGTGAGAGGCTATGGAAAAGTAACCTGGTTCATTCTGAAAAAGCTTGATTACATGTTGGGTCTGGATTGGCTGTCACTGTGTAAACGTAGGATTACAAGCAGCCTGTAGTCTAAAGAGTTTTGAGTTTATAAATGTGAATCCATTTCCATTGCAGGGGATCGCTCAGCGTGCAGAAGATGAAGCAGCTGAAGATGAATGTGAGCGATGCTAAGCTGAAGGTCCTGCAACACCTGTCCTTAGTTGAGCTGGACAGTAAAGGCCACGTTCGTCTTGTGCTCTGAGCAGAGCGATGGTTGTCACAGTATGTGCCGAGTTCTTGAGCAGAAACTAACCGCGTGGGTGGGATAGACGCATACACGAGACGTCAGTTTACTTTCAGTCGGCGCTATGGTCGGTCTGTACGCTGTATAAATGCTCAGATTCACCAAAGTACAGCGCCGTCCTTTGAGCACTGGGGCATGAGCTAGCCACAATGCTGCTGTGAAGATGCACAGTGTGCTGCCTGTTCATGTTTTTCATGTTATAAGGTTTATTGTAAATATATGTGATTACATTTTAACACAAGACCCTGTCCCCGGAGTAAAATGCTAAACCCGTAAAGATGCTAATAGTTATAATGTATTTTTGTCACTGCTGTAACTCCTTTAAACGAGTAACTAAATTACAGAGTTTCTAACAGTAAAATCTACCTTCAGCTGTGTTGATTGAAACTCAAAATCTTAATACTTTAAATGTACAAAGAACAATGATGGACATTAAAATAAATGTAAAATTGTAATGTGTGGTCCTCAGTTTGTGAGGTGTGAAATAAAAGATAATGCTAAGGGAATAAGATTGTTTCATTCATATATATATGTGAAAAAC